CCGTTTCCTGTTTTAGCTTTCATTGTAATAAAACTCGATAACCCCCTCCTCTGCTCCCTGCCATTTCACATCGCTATTTGTTTAGGTATCTCGCTCGCAGAATATGCTTATTTATATTTTTGATTAATCAAATTCAACAAAAAATTCAGCAACGTTTTCTTATTTTTGAAACGCGCTAAATTTTCTCGCCTACAACGAGAAGGAATAACCTTCGTCTGGAAAAAATGAATCAGTGCGCACAAAAGAAATACGCTTTGCTCTCATTCTAAAATTTTTCAATTATTTTCTGAAAAAATGATGTTTGCCAAGAAAACTAAGAAATATTCATCCTGCATTTTTTTAAATGGAATCTGGTACACCGTTAGTAACGTAAAATAAATACGTAACGCATCGTAACCATGAAGAATTAGCAGCTGTCTGAAATCTGATTAATTTCGTGCCTAAGTGAAAACTACGGAGTGAATTGCAGAAGAGGATACCATTGGCTCACAAATTGAGCAATTATTGGAGAAGATGTGACATAATGATCTTATCATGTGATTAAATGGGTAATGCCACCAGATATCACCAGGCAATGCATTCTCTCACTTCTTAAATGTATCAAGAATATTTCCCGTATCAGAAAAAATCGTAAAAAATATTGCGAAATCACCTCTTTAAGAACTTTTAGATGAAGTGATAAAAAATTTCCGCACAAATTCTCCATCAGGTTTTCTTGAAGAAGAGCAGTATTTACGTGGAAAAAAGTCAACATTTAGCATGGAGTTACGGCGTTTATGCCGTGGACGGCAGTGGATTGCGATTTATCGATTTTTATGCCATTTAAACCTACGGTAAAGAATCGATTGTTAAGGTGTTCGCTGCGAACACCCTGTTTATCGATCTTTTTCCATAGGTTTAAATGGCATGAAAATCGATTTATCGCAATTTACGCCACGCCACTGGAGGACGGGGGACGAGACCTTGTAGAGACAGGCGCGATACTCGAAATGATCCTTTCACGCGATGGAATTTCGTTTACTCGAGAGATCCAACACTCTCACCGATCGATATCGGAGGAGAAATACGACATCGATTATTTTCAGGCAGCTTAAGGGCGTTCGAGCTATCGAAAGATCACATCACGGAGGAGGCATGTAATCAGGATGAAGGGGCGCTCAAGCGTTGTGGAGCCGATCGGGACTGGACTAGAGGCTCCTAGGGTCTAGTATCATTTTACATGAGCAGTTGAACACTTTGCACGGGGTCACGCCGAGCCGCCAATACCTTCAATACCCTCATTAATAACTTTATAACACCCTTCATAATGCGGCCTGAGCTCGCTCACAGAAAAAAAAAGGTCGCGACTTCGAGTGAAATCGATTGTCGGATCTGTGTAGATCGATAGATTCCCATCTTAGCAATGCTATAAGTAGCATCGATACATGTATCGATCAAGGTCACTGCCTAATCGACCCGCTGGTATCTTGTAATCGGGAAGTGGGCTGGCTGAGCAGGACAAATATCGAATCTGCATGTGCAATTTTAGAATGTGGGCACGGGGTGTTGAAGTGTTACGCAATGACCCTTGCGTTGGGAGATAAAATCAGTCTCGATCCTCAGCCGCAGGCACACTATCAATAGGACGTATTTTCTATCAAACGGAACTATGTGCATTAAGACATGAGCCCTGAGACCCATAAGAATACATGCACAACAGGGCTCACGTCATTATGCACGTAGTTCCGTTTAACAGAAATACGTCCAATATATCGATGGCTGAAGTGCGAAACCACGTATCTCCATTGCTGTGTCTTCAAATTTCTGGCCCTATTTTATTTTTTCGAAGAGAAACAAGTCAGCTATATAACTTGAAGTTTTTACGAAAAATATTAATATATCTGCTAATAAAGAAGAAAAATTAAGGTAGTTTTCAAGAAATGAAGTTGACTAGTTGTCCGAAGAAAAAATAAAGTATGACCGGAAGTCTGCAACTTTGCAAATGGAGATACGTGATTTCGCGCTTTAGCCCTCGATATTCTTCTTTATGAGAACTTCGCGTTACGATCAGCCATCATATGTAGCAGGACGTTAAGTATCGATGGGAACTGGTTGCTCGTGATTTAATTTCCGTTTTACATTGACGAATATACCGATAAGTGAGACCATGATGATATTCGCCAATGCGATTTAATTAAGGAGGGGGCAGGGGCATGGATTGAATTTCATCATGGAACGGGAAAGGCAAGGGAAAATAAGGCTTATTTTTAGGAAAAATACGCATCTAAGAAGTTAATTCCAGCCATTTCCGGAAAAAATCGAAGAAAACGATTCTGACTACCATACCAAAAGGTGTCAAAGTCCTGTTATACATATACGAGTGGGTTTCAACCTGACGTTATTAGGGCTCTACGAAGGAGATGTTCAATGGGAGCCAAAAGTTCGTAACCCAATACTTGAACGCCATGCGGCAATACTACAAACTGAGCAATGCATGTTTAATATATGTATACATATTGCCTAACTTATTTGTTCGGCTTCTTATTTGTAATTTTCCTATTGTTAAAACGCATAAAAACTTAAGAAATTCGACTAATTTGCGGGTATTTTTTACTCACTGTGCACGACAACTAACCTAACATTCATCAGAGCACCCCAATCACTATCAAACCGGTGGAAGGCAGCAAAAAGGGAGAAGTAAAGAGAGAAGGGGGGGAGAAGAGATCGGGAGGGGGAAAAATGCGACAGCTAGGTATATAGTGGAGGCAATAAGACATGTTCTGGAGGACAGACTTGAGACGCGTCCAACCGCGGTCTAAGAATTCTGTCGGAACATATAAATCTTTGTTTTTTCGTGTTTCCATCTTTTTATTCTTCTGCTTTTTCCACTTCAAGCAACACACTAACCGGAGCGCGGTAATCTGCCCCGCGGCTTCCAGACCGAGCCTCTTTTCCTCTTGTCGAAAATCAATAATGATTTCCAACCCATATTAAATATCATTCCATGTTTTGTTTCCACGTTTTCAACAAATAAATTAGTGTACTTTTATTGGGAACACGTTTACATGGACTGGGAAGTATAATATCAAATGATACACCCTCACCAGATTTTTAATATATTATTACATTATTTGTGTACATTTGCTAGACAAAATTCCCATTTAAGAGACACAATCAAAAAAGAAAGAAGAAATCACTTCTAAGCTGAAATAACTTTTTTTTTATGGAAAACCTACACATTTCAATCATTGCTAGTCCTCGCAATGCCGTCTTACTCGACAAGAATACAACAATGCACCTATTATAGAGAAACACATTTTGTGGATATGTAGAGTAAAATGAGAACGGTAACACTATCACAAGATAATGCGAAAAAACAACTGAATCATCAATATCGTAAGAATCACCAAAAAATCAGACGTATAACGCGAAATCTTATATGCATCGCAGGGGTGAGTTAATGACGGAAGTTAAAACACCAAAATAAATCTACTAATTGTAAGTTTAAGTCAAATAACGTGCGGTTCAATTTTACACCTTATTTTAATAGACACTTGATTGTTAGCTGACTTTATCACCTGTTTTACCGACTTCGGTGCTTTTTCACCTATATATCTCACAAACATAATTTCTCTATCCTCCTTCAAATTTACTAATGCGCATTTCTATTTCTTAACTTGAACAAAGGTAGAGTCAAAGTTCCTTAAGTTAAGTTAATTTTCAAATATGTGGGAATATTATTCTGTCGAAAGCTAGTCTCTCAATAATGAAGGAAAATAATTTGATTTTTCCGGGAGATTCATCACTAATATTTGTCGATTTAAAAACGTTACAAGGTGGAGAAATGGTGCTGGGTCCACACCATTTCGTGGGAAAAACAAAGCCAAGAAATTCCAAAAATTAAAATTACAGTCAAAATTGATTTTTTTGAGCTCTAATGCGTACCAGTATGAAACTGAGAGTAAACTGAGTATGAAACTTTTTTTCATTTAAAACTGTTTATATATGCGGGATTTTTTCTCGCAGTTTGACAACGGAGGCTATGTTCCAAGCCTGGCGTGTCAAAATATTTTGCACTTGGCTGAATCTGTCCCTGTTGATGATGGAGCTCAAGTCGAGGCTAACGCGGCGAAGATGGCGAATGTGGAGAAAACTACCAGTTTTGTGTTTTTCGAACGGTTTACTTGCTCTCACGCCGATATATCAAGTATCATCCCTTTGTCGTCTGCCATCATTTGCAGCCTCTGCTCGATTCGGAATTTTGTCTTACACGCGCAACAATATGATCGAGGCACCATTGGTCTCCATCGCCAAACCACTAATCCACGACTCGTTTCTTCAGATGAAGTTGCTTTTTGGGAAATTTTAACTTCCCTCTCGATCAAATTTTTTCTCATCTCTTTCTCTATCGCATCCGGAGTCCAATCGAATGTTTTCGGCTATTTCCGGTTCCTCCTAGCTGATAACGTCATTAGGGCACCCATGGACGTTATGACGGCACACTGAAAAAAAATCATGATTTAAGGTACACAATGATGTGAGTATGGGAATTACCAACAGACTCTTTGGTAGCACATACCGTAACTCTAATAGCATTCACCAAAGTTGTGGTGGGTGCTTTACCAGACGTCTGGTTATCCTTACCCATCAGTTTCACAGTGTCAAACATCTAGTAGAATCATGATCGAATTTGCTATACTTCTGGTATATGATACCTTACTTTTAATCTTAATACACCCCTCGATGACGTCATCAAGACAGCTTTTGATAACGTCATCGGGACGATTGTCAATGACTTCATCGGGACGATTGTCGATGACGTCATCGGGACGATTGTCGATGACGTCATCGGGACGATTGTCGATGACGTCTTCGGGGGTCTTCGTCTAAGATCCTTCCCTGAATTGATTTTTTTAAATTTTAGAATTAAACATAGCAAGTGATCCGCACGATGTATGAGATTTTAAATTAATTTGTTTGCCATGCAAGTCTCATGACGTTTGTTGTATCGCTTGTTGCAGGTTCGGAGTGGACGTGGGGCGACGGAAGAACGCGACGCGAGAAACGACGAGCACGCTGAAGGCGTGGCTCAACGAGCACAAGAAGAACCCGTACCCGACGAAGGGGGAGAAGATCATGCTGGCCATCATCACCAAGATGACGTTGACGCAGGTCTCCACGTGGTTCGCCAACGCCCGGCGGCGGCTCAAGAAGGAGAACAAAATGACCTGGGAACCGAGAAACCGCGTCGAGGACGAAGACAACAACAACGATGACGTCACCGACGGCAGGAAGAGCGGCGACCCCAAAGATCCACTAGGTAAGCTACTCAACCCTTCAACATTGTGCTTCAAAGTTGCAAAGACAGAAAGTTAGGAGTAGAGCAACTGGCAACCAGACCGGTAACGGTCTCACATGGAAACCCTTAGGATATGGGGAAAAAATAAAAATAATAGCCACGGGTAGGGGTAGTATGGGTAGGAGCGGGTTAGAAGGTGTCGCTGCCAGCTTTTTACATGTTTGTCGTCTGCATCACCGGTTACCAGTGAGTGGAGGCTCAAGTGGACCACATTTTTAAATTTTGAACTAATATTTGGCTCATCCGTAAAAACACGTACGTGCATAGGGAAACTAATAAGCCAACAATTTATTGCAGTTCTTTATTGCAAAATGCAGTCAGAATACAAGGTACAAAATTGGTCTCAAAGTACGCTGAAATGTGCGCTCTGCGTGAAGTTCAAGGTAATACAAGCAAATTTCCAAACGATCAAAAACTAGTGATCAGATCAAAATTATCTAGGTATGTGTGTGATTAAGTCAAGCACACTGAGAAAAAACTATGGTTTATAAACCTATTAGAGGTAAATATGGAACACCTATAATAGTCGTAAATAAACTAATGATTCTCGGTCTGTGAACCATACTAAGGTCTCTGTACCTAATTAAGGTACCCCGTACCATAACTAAGGTATATGTGCTATTATTATATGTAGAGGTACTACTATTAGTGGTGTTCCATATTTACCTCTAATAGGTTTATAAGCCATAGTTTTTTCTCAGTGCAGGAGGGTCTTAATACTGGAACTTAAATTGTTCAGTGCAGGACAATGAACCCACCTGGGGTCGGAAAAATCGCCTTTCACTTCCGGATGCAAACCATTTTTAGGACTCTGTAAGACGTCAAGTTAAAATTCCAAGCCATGATTTGCTTTATTAAAGATGTGTTATATGTGGTTGCAATTATGCGGGGAATAATGCTGGCAAACTTAATTCGCATTTTTCTGACATTCTCGATCTATCGTCCTCGATTTCAGGAACGCGCCTGAGGGGTCAAATTTTGAGTTTTGCGGTATATTATGCGCCAAATGATGCAAAATTAACTCCTTCAATCAGTGAGACACTTATATATCTGATTTGATGTTCATAAAATGAGCGTTTTAATTCTGAAAATCAATATGAATAAATTCTCCTCAACGAGAGGACATACTCTTTGAAATGAAAGTAGAGGACCCTTTTTCAGAAACGTAACAATTCAACCCCTCCCTCCCACCTCACGCCCTTCAAAACTTCAAAAAATCGTGAAAACGCTTCATGCTTTTTTCCATCTACGCTAGCACGCATCTCCGCGATTTGTGTGCAGGAGCATGTCTTGTTCACACCAGGGACAAAAATGGGGCCTCATTCATTTGTAGCCCTTTGCGCCCCGTGCCGGTTAGGTGTCGTCGGATACGCCCATATCAATTCCCTTTTCCTTCTCCCTCTGGAGATTCATTTTCGTACTTCATTTTCATAATGTTTCCCTCCATACATCTTCGTTTTATTTTCTCTTTCTTTCCTTCACGCTTGGACCACTTGATGCGGCTTTGTTGCCAACTTCCGAGCGCCCGATTCTCAACTTCACCTCGAGCTTTCATTGCACGAGTTTCTCAGACTGTCACGTTGTCTACTTTTTCTCATTTGGACGTATAGTATTTCTACCAAACGGAACCGTGTGCATTATGACATGAGCCCTGTTATTCACATATGTTTATGGGTCTCAGGGCTCATGTCTCAATGCACATAGTTCCGTTTGGCAGAAATATGTCCATTTCTCCGGTGCACTTTGTTGCGTCGCCACGATGGGTGCGTTTCCTTTGCGGTTTTAAGCTTGACGAGACATTCCATCGATGAGCTCCCGTGTCCAGATGAAATTTTACTTCCTTTTTTTTTCTCATGATCTCCTCCCTCGCAGTCCTCTCCGTCCTGCGTTTCGGATAAGGACCTCGAATGGGGAGGAACATGACAGAACATGGTGTCCAGTGATCAAGAAAACTGAAACCACCTGTGTGGTTAGTAGGGAGGGCTTCTGGACTTACCTCCTTCCTCCTCCCTTCTCCTTATTCCCCCTTCCTTTTCCCTTCCCCTCCTTCTCCCTCGCCCCTTTCACCTACATGTTCGGTTTTTTTAGCAGGACCAATCCATAAGTGGATTAAATTTTGCAATAAAGACCCACTATTTTTGGCTCTCTCATAAAAGCACATATTTGCGTATGAGAACCAATGGCATGTATGTTGTTTCTAAAATGAGCCAGAAATAGTGGCTCCCTATTGCAAAATGTGATCCAAATGTAAATATTAATATTAATAAACCATTAATCGAGATATTAGACGAAGAATGAGGAATGAGCTAGTCCAGTGCAAACTGTTATTAGTACCAATGTTTTTGCGACTGTATGGAGACATTCTCACGCTGAAAAATGTGCGGCTATTCGTGGGGCTTCAATTCTAATGGACCACTGGACAAGGTACGAATTTCAGCATTCTGATACATGTTTCATAACTAAAATTTCACGTAAAACATGATGCGCACAGCAAAAATTATCGCAATTAACCCCTCTTGAAGATATTTAATGATTCTTGATGCGTGAATTCAAACCACCCGCTCATGAAAACTCAATGCTCTACGTGATTCACATCGTGCGCTAAACGTCATCATGACAGTCTCTGCGATATAAAAATCTGGCAACCTCAATCTTGACGCTTTGGCTCAGCTATAGGAAATTGCTGATAGTTTGAACAACACATGGTGGGAAATGAACATTGCTCGATTGAGAAGCTTACTGAAACCGTTGTAGTTCGCGATTTGACTCACGTAGAGCTTTGAGTTTCTTGTGAGCAGGCAGTTCAAATTCCTCGTAACCAATGTGAAATAAAAACGTTAATATCTTCGTTAGGAGTTGGTTTCAGCAATTATTTCGTTGTGTGAATCGTGTTCCACGTGAAATTCTGGTTAAGAGACATGTATCAGATCGCTTAAATTCGTACCTTGTCTAGTGGTCCATTATAAAATTTGTATTCTTTATGAGTATGGGCAAATCCAAAGCGGTCAAATGGAGCGGGGGTGGGTGGAAGTGAGACCCGGGAGGCTACACCCAGAAAATTTGCGGAATTATAAAGCATCTAATATATTTCATGCAATTTGAGTTAATTTCAGTCACAATAAAATCACAATTCCTGTTTTTCTCTGAAAATTTTGCTACAACGAGCATACCTGTTCTTCCCGTTTAAACTTCTATCGTAAATCAAATTTTCTTTTATCTTATATGCGGACTTTATTAGTTGAATCCATCATTTTAATTTACCTTTTAGAATAGCCAAGGGCATTGACAATCTGCGCGTTTGATAGGTCTCAAACGATAGATTTAAGACGCTTAATCCGATTTATGATAAAGTAGCGGTTATCTTAGGACAAGCTGTCATCGTAGGATTTCCAATTTTGTGATTGCTTGCCCTGGAGCGCGTTTCTGAAGTTATTCACACCGAACAGTTGTACAAATGAAAGAGGTTAAAACTTAAAATCAATCTAGTTACAATGTTGTTCTTTCACACTCAAACTTCGGGAATTGCTTTAAGAGTTCACTCAATTTGAGTATAACTATTGCTCTTTACAACCACGAATAAAACGTGGTTTTCGATGAATAACTATTTTTGCACTACCTTTTTTTTCAAATATTTTAAGTTTTAATGGAACTTGAGAGTGAAATTCCCTGGATTAAAATAATAGTAACGTCATATTTTTTCTTGGATAAAAATCATGAACTATTTATAATCTACTTTAAAGAGAAAAATTAAAATCGTTTGTTTATATTGAGTGATTAGATCAGTGCCTTTCTTGATAATCCTACACCCTCCACTCTTCAAAATTTACCAAAAATGTACATGAAAACTAAACTTTCCCTCCACTCCGTTCAAAAAGTCCAAAAGTAAGTCACAATCAGTTTAAAAGAATGAATTCACTCAAGTTTTGAGAAAGCGCAAATAATTTGTTACGACCTCATTTCCATTAATACAAATAGTATACCTATTAGGGTTCAGAAGTAACATGTAAAAGTTGCATTTGTTTGAGTTTGCGTCTTAACTTGGCTAATGCTGTTAGAAGAACGCTCACAGGGCTGAAAGAGGAGAATAATAAAATCTTACCCACGCTTTGGACAAAAAGTTGCCCAGAGAAGGCTATTACTTATTTGTATGTGTACTACAAGGTGTTCGCGTATGTTAACCCGGTCTTGATTGAATAGTACATTTAACTCCAGGGTGGCCACTGTTGCCAATCCAGCGATATCCAAAAGCTCATATCCTTATGAACAATCGGGAATTACTCGTCCAAACCAACACCGGAGTTGGCGCATGTATGCAAATTCCGAGCAGTTCCGATTTCTCGTTCCTGATCTTGGTCAGACTTACGGTTTCATTTTTCATTGTATGAATATAAAAAGCATGATCAAAGAAAGTGAACCATATAAAAAAGAGGGGTTTCCTTATTAGAGTCGCGTCTGTGGTGACTTACTGCTACTGCGCACGCAACCAAACGTGGGATTTTTATATCTTTAAAATTGGAAGATACGGGCACCGAGCACACCCTCGTTGCTCCAAATTGGTTCCGTTTTAAAGTTAGTACCAGCTTTCTAGTTACGTATTTATTCCTATTTAAATTCAATTATTCATAAGACCATGACTCGTTGACTCCGCATAAATACAGAGCGATTATTCTGAGACCTGAGTAGAAAGAGGTCCCTCATGACTTAAATTAAAATTCTGATCGACAAATATGAAAATAATTAACATTGATCATTCGCTGTCTCTTTCGCTGTTTGTAATTTTAAAATTGCCATTATTACGTGAGTGATAAGAGATGGAACAAAACTCAGAGAATAGCTGGCCACATTGAACGGAAACCCAATGTAAATAGTTCCTTTTAGCATGAATAGTCCAAATGGACTGCATTTTGCGATTCGGAACTATAAATTCTGGCTCCTCTGGAAAAACACTTATGTGCATAGGGAAACTAATGGTACATAAGTTGTTTTGAAACCGGGCTAGAATCTATAGTTCCAAATTGCAAAAAGTCCGAATATGGTTCATTAAATAAAAGGAGGTACTTGTGCAGGGACACTTGCAGAAAGATCTTCGTATCGATTACATTCAGCCGCCATTTTGCAAGTTGCCAACACTGTTCTTTTTCTATTTAAATCCATTAAAAATATCGATTTTTACCAAGACCAAGAATCGATTCTTAAACATACATTTAAATGGAAGAGGAACAGTGTTTCCAACTTTCAAAAATCGCCACTGGTTACATCGGAGGGATCTGCGCGACGTCACGTCCACCCTTCGTGGTTAATAATGAAGACCGACGGAATTTTCCCGGGGAGGAAGTTGGTGATTTTCCCAAGCTGGCTGCGGCAACCGAATTCCTGCTCGTCTTTTTTAACCGTCGGAAAATAATTTGGAACGGAGCGAGGGCAAAAGGATTTATTTTCACCCATTGACTCGGTCCCTCACAAAGTGATGAGGGCTTAATTGACTCCCCCGCACCCCGCGCCCGACGTCGCATTTGTGACGGGGGAAAACGGCCGCGCTAAGCAAAAACGTCCCATCAACACTCGCAGGTTGTCAAATTTCCTACGATAAAATCTTCATTTTCGGCGGAAAGTTAAGAAATTTTTTTGTTGAACTTCTCAAATACTTTGGATCGAATTGTGTATGATATCCTCCGGAAAATTGGAAGGTGTATGCTGCCAAGTCTCCCGGAAAATTCGTATTTTATGGGAGGAAATTCGGCAACGGCCAAAGGTTCATACGGCGTTTCTCGCGGAAAAGGCTTCCGACCCTCACTCGGGGGTGTGACTGACTCACTTGAATCGGACGATTATATTCAGAGCTTTGGCGTTTTCTGATATCGCGCTACAACCAACAACTTGGGCGGAGTTTTTAAGTCACCCGGGCACGTGTTCGGACTTAACCAAAAACCGGCGCGGCGGCCGCGGGACCACGTTCCCGGCATCCATTATTCATCGGCATCATCATCACCCATCCACCACCCACCAGTCACCCTCGCCGTAATCAGTTGAGCTGATTTTACTTATCTCTTTTGTTATTCGAGCATTTTGTTTGTTTGTTTTATTCCCATGCTTTTTTTTACGACGAACGACGCACCGCTCCCTACTTATATCTGTCGTTATAAATAATCAGACTCGTGCTTCCGTCATGTTCGGGGTTGAAAACAATCGACCAAAGACTCAATTTTGGCTTTCATTTCACTTATTGGCATATACTTCATGCAGCGTAAGCAATCATTGTTACTCTTTGTTGTTACCGGAATTTCGCCTTCATTTTGTGGAGTATGCAGCACTCTCCCTCTTTTTTGTAATCGTACTAAGCTAAACTACACGTAGTATTAAGTACCGAGGATGCACTTACCAAAAGCTTTACGATGTTTTCACGTACACTGAAAAAAAAAATTACAGGCTTTATAGTCATAGCGTCTGTTTCGGGCTGTATAGCCATACCGTCCGTTCCGCGCTCACAGGTCGAAAGTTCCGGGTGCTGAAGCCGTAGTTTCGATTGCTCCGGGTGCTGCGCTCGGAACTTTCAGCCTCTGTGCTCGGGACGCGGGCGGTATGTCCATATAGCCCGTAAGTACGGCATCCACGGCCGGATTTTTTTCTTCAGTGAACGCAGTATTTCAAACTGTGACTCAGGGATGTCGAGTAAAATGCACTAAGGAAATGTTTTGTTTTTGTGATTGCAGATTCCAAAGACTCAGGTACGGGCTCAAGCGAAGACGGCGATGGAGACGGCGAACGGTCGGCAAACCAAAGGCTGGAGCTCCTGGAACGTCCGGGCGGCGGGACCGGAGACACCGGCTCCGAGTGGAGCGAGTCCCGGCCCGGAACCCCGGAATGCCTCTACGACCGGGGCGCACCCCCGTTCCTNCACCCCGCCTACCACGGCCTCCCGCCGCACCCCCACTCCAGGTTCCAAAGCTCCCCGCCCCCCAGCAACGTAACCAAGCCCAGGATCTGGTCCCTCGCCGACATGGCCAGCAAGGACTCGTCCGGCAAAACGCCTTTCCGGGGAGTCCTCCCCCAACAAGCTCCTCACCCCTCGTGCTTCATTCGGCACGCGGATTTCTACAGGAGTTTCTACGGTTCGCACATCCCCGGCAGTTCGAGCGAGCACCAGGCGCTCCTGGAGAACTACTCCAAGACTTTCGGCGGGTTCCCGCCGGGCAGCAGTAACCCGCCGTTGTCGTCGGTGGCTGCCGCGCTGGCCGCCGCGCACACCGCGTCGGCAGATGGCGCTGGTGCACCCGCCTTCGGAGTTCCCGTCTCGACGAGTGCGTCGTCCAGTTCCTCGGAGTCACCCGCCGTCTCGGAGTCGTTACAGAAACCCCTCGACAGTGCCCAGCGGGCTTGACCTTTGGTTAGCTTGAAAAGCATAAGATTCACTCGTTAAAGCGGGCTGCTCGCCTACCCATCGCCACACGCTCAGAATAGTTTGGGTTATCAGCATTGGCGGATCCAGCAACTTGCCAACATTGTCATTTTTCCAAATAAACACATGGAAATGTATCGATTTTTGGAGAGGCTAGGTGCTGCGACGAGAATCGCTTATTTGGCATATGTCTAGTGTTGCCAAATTGCTGGATCCGCTTTTGCTTTTAATCAGAGAAGGAGTATCAACCCCCTCGGCCTCTAGTAGCACAAGAAATAAGTTTATTCTAAAACGATTGATTTTGATCTTTCAAAAAGAAACTCAAGATATGTTTGAAAAATAGGTTTGGGCTATTTTAAAATACAACTCGGGTGTTCTTATTTCCGCAAATCATTTTGAAATGTGCTTTCTTTTTTTTTTAAAAAAAAAACCCTAAACATTTTGTGGAGAAAGATGGTGCTACCAGGGGTGAGGCATTGACTTTATATGGTATATTTTGAAAAACTGAAGCGCATATTAATACATTTTCACCGATCTCTAAACGTGTCTGCCAATTTTACTTTAAAATAGCGATAGTTTCACAACGGTCGGAAATACTCAACAAACGTACTGCTTCTTCTTGTTTCGATAAAATTCTTCCATTGTTTTTATTACGTATCTAGGCTTTGAATTAACGATTGCAGTTTATCTTCTCCTAAATCTCAACGCTCCAATTTTTTTTAAAAAATTTCTCAGTAACGAGTTGTTCGAAAATGATTTAAAATCAGAGGATATAGTGAGTTTTATTGAGTTTTCTCTCTCTGTTGTATTTCATCAGCGCAAGTTCTTTGATTACTTTTTTAATGTATACGCTTTCTTAACTCGAAGGTCGCAGGAGCGTCAATGTAATCACAAGACACTCAGAAATTCAAAATTCACATTTATGGATTTATTGCAAAAATGACGAGTGAAAATTTAATCCTTACAAAAAGGATCTTTCATGGTGATGTGAAACATGCATTTGTGAGCGAGGTTGGGTTTTGATGCGCCAGTGCATCTTTTTGATCCTAGGTTGTGCTGTCCGACCAAAGAAGCCTCAAAAAATAATTCGATACAAACTAATGAATCAATAATTTACTCGAGACTTCAACCCCAAACGAATCAAAGTTAGATCATAAGTGTTTAAAATTTATATATTTGTTTCTCTCCTTTTGTTTGTAATTTTAATCTGTTGCATTCTTGAGTCATTCCCGGAAGGGTAAACTAGCGCGTTATGTAATTATATGCATGTATTAAAGAAAAAAACTTGGCTGTCGAAATCTTTCGTTAACGAAGTGTACATATTATTTGTAATTTTCCATGTTTTATTTTATTTTATTTTCTCGTCTTTCAATGTTGTAACCAAAGAATAAGTGTAATTTTTAGATTACGGAAGACAGGACTCTGACTTCGCCAAGTCAGATTATTCCAAGCCGTACTTGTAAACAACCTCGCGGGAAAAGACACCGCTTTCAGAATCAAAATCGTTTACGATTGTCTCCGGAAAAATGAGAAAAATAACTTTTAAAATCTGCGGACTCATAAAGGATACCGCGGGGCATTCAATGTTTCTTCGAAAACGAAAACGTAATCGTTCATCATTAAACGTAAAAATAAGTGTTTACTCATTCAACTCTCAATGAAAACAAGTCATCAAGAAATATATTTCTCTTGTTGTTCCACCGACTAGATTATGTTGCTCTATACTCAAAGTTAAATCACTGTTTACAATCATATTACTAATTGCGGAATCAAGTTTTACTATCTTATCAGTCTCAAGTGCGTTTGAGAAGTCGGCATCTTTATTAAATCAACGATCAGTCATGATTTGCGTGTGCAATCTGGACTTCGATGTTTCAAAAAATTTTATGAGTTTCTTTTTGATTAGAGAATGATGAATATTCATATTTTGGCACTCAAAAGCCTCCCTCTCTCTGCAGTGACCCTAAAATAAAAGTTCCTCCTCTAAATTTAATATTTACCATCGGAAACTCTAGTCAAAGAAACGGTCATTTCACTTACTTTGAGTTCTGTAAAAATGTATGCGTTACCTAAGTAAAACAACTTTTTTTCTGTTCTTTTCTTTTTGGCGTCCAAGCAAATGCTCATTTATAGGGGCAAAATTCACATATAGCATAACTTTGAGAAAAAGAACATTTCAAAAATCTAACGACACGGTCATCCGAATCAAGTAGTCAGTAATTACATCCCATGGTCCAATTACTCTTAAAAGTTGAGAGACCTCGTGAAAAAAGTAATATTTGTTATTTTTGCATAACCCTTTAGGGCGAATTCTACTGAGTATAAACACTGTTGTGTAAAGGCAAGCAATTCGCAATAGTAAAAATTTCATCTTAATGAGTAATGTCTGCACCAATCGTTTTGAAAAGGAATTTTCGATCCTTTATTTTTACTATCTTACAAAAAAGAAGAAGAAAAGGCTGAATCATTTTCCACCGAGGTGTTTATGTCTACAGCTTTCTTTTTTTTCTTATACTTGTTGACAATAATGTTGTAAATGTTTGTATAAAGACCTAGCAAATTTAAATAGACAAATGTATAAACCTTTATAAAAATATGTAAATAAAATAATAGAAAAATGTACTACTGTTAGTAGTATTTATGAATCTGTGAACGTCATGCCCATCATACTGCTATTTTTACCATCACCGAGAAACAAAATTAGGATGTCCCATCGACAGACAGATTGTTCAAAAAATGTGTGACGCCCTCAAAAAGTTTGTCTGAACTGCCCTCGCTGTTAATTTTTCGTCATCTAGAGAATGATATATTAACGGAAGGGGCAGTTGATTTAATCATTTTAAGGTCATAGAACATTTTTTGAGAAACCAGAATTTCAATTTTTTTTTGGTCATCGTACAGCAGAGGATCGCTCTTCGATGAGTAAGGTTCTATTTTACTTGTAAAGTTTCAATGTACTTATTCAAAACCTTTCTATCTCAAAATTTAAAAAAAAAAATGTGTTGATGTACATGTTTATCTTTTGTTTTATAAATATTTATTGTAATTTAAAACTACAAAAATTTCAATGAGAAAAATAAATAAAACAAATTTTAAAACATTATTTATTCTTAATTTGATTATTATCCATTCATGCTTAGTAAAAGGAACATATTTGGGACAAAACTGTGAAGCCTCCCATCTTCACCATGAAAAGAATTAATTGCTCGTACGTGCAAATTTCAACAAAAAGGTAGAAGAAAAATACATCCGAAAGAATAAATGCTCTACTTAACCAGAACAATACTCAAGCTGACTCAGAATTTGTAGTCATTCAAAAATTCAAAGTACTTTTTAAGAGTAGAAGCACTGATTATTTTATTTTATTTTTATTTTGTTCTCAAAATTTCCTATCATATACATGACGTGTGTGATCGGAAATACTCAGCGTGTAGGTATCTAATGTGACCTTTATGAAACTTTCCTCTCTCAGAAAAGTGATCGATCTTCATTTTCGCGGGGGCGAGATTTTTGATACTTGAGAATCCCTTATGAGGAATTTTTTACTTTGAATTTCCTTTTTACAAAATTGTTAGTTATTTACTTAAAACAGAAAAATTCCAAAAAAAGACTTTTAAGAAAGGGAACTTGAACATATACCGATTGCTGAAGAGGAAAAATTATGAAAATAAGCACTTGTGGGATACTTTTTTTAATTAGGGGAAAAACGATGCTGCACAACCCATGTTAAGAGTTTTTTATACCTCACATGAAACCCTTAAATTGCTCTTCAAAAAGGGCCATAAATGCTTAGTTTTCCCGATTACTATTTAAAACTGCCGAAAGTAATTTATTACCTCTTCCAAGCGTTTTAACCTGCGCCTTCTCTTCAGTGGTTATGAACAATTTAAATTATTTGACGGAAGAAAGACTGCCAAAATAGGTGCTTCGTTAGGTTTCGCGTTGGATAAACGTCGTATGAACATTTGATAGTTGCAAAATTTTCCTGGATGAAATGATCCTTTTGGAGGGAAGTTATGTATATTTTTCCTTGAAATTTTCAGATAGTTTAGATTGAAGTGGTACAATATTGTCTGAAAAATTGGAAGAAAAATATTCACTACTTGCCCAGTGAGCTCGTATTTTGAAAAAGGAAGTTTGGCAACGGCTAAAGGCTCATTCGGCGTTCTTCCTTAGCACAGCAGTATTGACTGAAGTAAATAATTATAAAAAAAAGCTGTCGCACCTCGTCAAATTTCAGAAGCGTGAGCATTGGCGGATCCAGCAGATTGACATCATTCTTTTTCTTCATTTAAACGTATGGAAATGTATCGATTCGTGGAGGGGCCAGGAACTCCGACAAAAATCGATTATTTAACATAGGTTTAAATGGAGGAAACCCGGTGTTGCCAAATTGATGGATCCGCCTCGGAGCGTGAGTCCGAGTATGCGTTCCTGATTACTGATCACTGATTACTCACGACGACGCATTGGATGAAATGAAATGATACAAGTTTCCAGAATTGTCCTGCTCAAGGCAAACCATGTAATAACAACATGTCATCTTAATCGATGACAGAAACGTAGAATATCTTCTACTCGTATAACTGCTTTATTTGATTGGCTCTTATGGAAAGGACGCGCGGGCAGTTGCCTTTGCCTGGATGTCGCTTGGTAAGAATATCCTCCTGACTTTTAGCAGACCTGATCAATATTTTCATAACCTCAATCATGCAATATCATACATATAAACGTCAAAAAATTACGCGTGACCAGAGCGGACGTTGATTTTATCACAGAAATCAATGTGGGGAAAAAAAGTAAAGGGTCTAGTTATGCAATGCACTACTTACAACGCATTGTGACGAATAACAAATCATGAATTTGTTTTTTAATTCTTACAGGTTCCTGCGGCGGAGATGTATTTTAAAAGTTTGAAGCTGAAGAAATGATTACTAATAAATCGATGATCGTCTTTGAGAGTGATGAAATTAAAACGTTTG